TTCGCACTGATCGCTGCAGAAATCCGAAAGAACGAATGAGCATTTGGAAAAAAAAACAAGAGATGTCACATCCTTGGAACTATTAAACTGCACAAAAGAGGGAAACAAATGGGCATTCGGGAAAAAACAAGAGATGTCACATCCTTGGAACTACTAAACTGCACAAAAGAGGGAAACGAATGGGTATTCGGGAAAAAACAAGAGATGTCACATCCTTGGAACTACTAAACTTGCCAAAAGAGGGAAACAAATGGGCATTTGGGAAAAAGAGATGTCACATCCTTGGAATTACTAAACTGCACAAAAGAGGGAAACGAATGGGTATTCGGGAAAAAACAAGAGATGTCTCATCCTTGGAACTACTAAACTCAGGGGCCCCCACCAGGGGGGGAGGTGGGCGCACGATGCGCCCACCTAAAGCTTGGGGGGGAATTTTTACACTAAATAAAACGAATAGTTTGGGGGGGAATTTAGACGGGAGAATTTTTTTTATAGTACATAAATAAAAGAATATATTTCAAGAAAATATATATATAAAATATATATATATACTTTTATTCTTTATATATATTCTTTATATATAAAAGAATATAAAGAAGAATTTATAGTACATAAATAAAAGAAGCAACTGGCCATTTGACAAATGGTATCAACTGTCACTCTACTGAGTATCAAGATTGAAGAAATTGATTGATTTCGGTAAGTGCAAAAAATATAAATTTATATTCTTACAATTAATTATTACCAATATATGTCACACATTTATTTGTGCTTTTTCCCCTCTTTAATTCAAAACTATTTACTCTTTGTAGTCAAGGGCTTCAAAATTATTAATAATGTTTTTATTATTTTTATTACTACAAACATTAAAAAATTTTCAGTATTCATTTAAAATATATTGAAAACAATGAAAAAATCTAACATTTTCGTTAATTTAATATAATTACCATATGAGGTAAAAATGTTATTAAAATCACTTACAGTTAGTTTCTCGTAGTTGGAAATAGAAAAGAAAAAGAAATGATCGCTAAGGATTAGAGCAAAAAAAAAATGAATAAATGAATAAAAAAAAACAATATTTTTTCAACACTTATTAATTTATAACGTTACGTGTTCTTGTGAGTTAAGATAAAGCGCTTTTTTATGGTTTTCTCTGAATCTCTCACATTTATATGTAGCTAATTTAAGAAGAAAAAAAAACTTCATTTATTCGATAAAAAAATGCAAAAAATAAAAATTGATACATTGAATTTAAATAATTTATATTTTACAGTTAAAACGTGGAAGGCCTTATTTCACGGAATGTTATTTTACTGAATGAATAACTAATTGAGTCAGTTAAAATGTTCATCCAATTCTGCCTTATTTATTTAAATGACGATTAATTTCCCTGTTTGGACTTAATAACTTTAGCATTTTCATTTCTTATTATTATTTCCTTATTATTTAAATTTCATTTAATTTGAATTATTAATATTTAAAATTTTAGTATTTGTAAAATTTCAGTTTCTAGATGGCAGCATTTTCATTTCATTTAATTCATTTAAATTTAATTATTTCTCTAATTTATTATTGTTTTCAAGGAGTCACCACTATTTTTAAAAAAGCTAAAAAGTAACTTTTTCTTTCCTCACGCTTTAATCAGCTGAGTTCGTTTTCTCCTGTTCTGTTCATGTTATGTTTGAGCGAGTGCTAACGTGTTTTCGTTCTTGTGCTTGTAAAATGTCAACGACACCACAGTGTTAATTTCAACTAATTAGTTTAATTTCTGGGACCAGCTCCCGCTCAATGCGATCATCATTAAGTCATTTGCTAAAATTAAAAGGGTAAGAAATTAATGTTATTTTGTTTCGATTTCATTTAGTCCTGAGTTACTTATATCTCTCTCGTGTATTAATTATCTGATTAATAATTTGGTAGATAGTAATATAATTATTTGATTGTTAATTATTGATAAATTTAAAAAAATATGTAGCAAATTTAATTAGAGTTTAATATGTTGAATAATAAATTGTTCTTATATATAGATAGTTTTGATTTGTCAAATTTAAATTGCTAGTATTTTTTTTTTCAAATGCATTTATAATTCTGCTCTATTGATTAACTATTGTGTAGTGGATAGACATTGCAGATCGAGTCCCAGCTAGGGCAGAGAAAAAATTCTCGAAAATAATACGTTATGTTAGAATAAATTAAGAACACCTAAAAAGACATTAATTTACTTTTTTATATTTTCTAAAATCTAAATATAACAATTAATGTGTACGCATTAATTACGTATACATTACATGAGATCATTTAATTTACTTTTTTTAATTTCTAAATACAACTTCGAATATTAATAATAATAGTAAAATTTAACACTATTTTAATATCATAGAGAATATCAATTTTACTTTACCTGCCTTTGCATTTTTGACATATAGTTCTGCTCCACCCTGTATTTTCAATAGTATGTGAGTTTATAAATATTTTTAACTTTCAAAATTAAAAAAGCTTAAAGCTTGTTATTTAATATACTTGTTGCATTTTTACTCATAAAAAGCTTTTCTTTCTTTAAAAGTCATACTTTTATTATTGCTCTTTATTTTTCTGTTTGTATATTTAAATATGTCAAGTTTAAATCTTTTCGAATAATATTTTTGCCCATTCTTCTTTTTATCATTAAATAATTACACTTATTTGTTACATATAGATATATTTACATCGTTAAAATATTAAATTTTTATTCTAAAAAAAGTTTTCTCTATTTCGTAGAAAAAGTCATATTTTTATTACTAGACCATGCTGTATATACATATAGTTAATGAGCGAATTATAAATCTTTTCGAATAATAATTTTGTCCATGCATCTTTTTCTCGTTAAATTATCACTTTTATATGTTATATATATATATATGTATATATATATGTNTCTTAAAATGAATTGTTTCAAACTTTATTACTTCTAAATTTGCTTTTTATTTTCTTCTGCTTATGGTTTATGCTAATATTTTTTTCTTGCTTAAAGGTAAAAGCTACAATTGAAGAAGGTTATTTTAGAGGTGAGAAGTTTTAAATCATTATATTACTTTTCTAGCATTAAATAAGATAAATTATAAATGAGTAAAATACACGATGTTTTTTAATAAAAATGACCCGTAATATGAATTCTTAGAATACGTTTCAAGAATGAATTAAAAAATGTATACACATTTGGGGGTACAGATTTATACTTAAGCAGAAAAAAACGCAATTTGAATCCACGGCAGCAGAATTTTTTTTACACCTCAACAGCGTAATTTAACATGTATGTTGCAAAAGTAGCACATAAAAAAGTCAATTATACATAAAAACTTCATGTTGTTTAAATTTAAGTTAAATTTTACAAAATGATACTAAAAACGGAACTGTTACTCTTTAATCTGTAACCAAGTTACAGAATTTTTTTTAAAATCTTTGCGGTGTTTTTTTTTTCAATTCAGTTTAAGTTTAATTAGAAACAAGCATCAAGATGTTTTTAAATAAAGTTTCAGCAATTCCTCCCTATTTGCTCGTTTGCTTTTTAAAAACAAGACTTAAAAGAACATAATCTGCATATGCTGTAAGAATCTAGGTACTGCATTAGCAAAACAGGATGTACTTGATCTGCGATAATACTTAATACTTGGACTTTCATGCGTTGTTTCACAGGCATCAAAGGACCCATAACGTAGCTTCCACCAGCTTTAAGTGTTACTGCAAAGCTATTTTTGCCATATCCGAACCCTGGCATCTGCATGGTGTAATTGAAAGCCTGGTCTGCATGGTTTAACTCTTCCAGTCATCTACTATCCAATCCTTACGCTTCTTTGCAAACTGGAGTCGTCAGCTCTTGTTTAAGCCTGGCAGCAAAGGCTTTCAAACAAGTCGTCGGCTCCTATAGCCTATACCAGGGATGACGAACCTTTATGCACCAACGTGCCATTTTTCAAGAAATTGTTTAATGAGGTCATAGACGTGCCGTCAAATAATTTTGACTATGTGACTATTGGAAAAATAATACCAAATACTATCAACTCAAAACTCTTTATTTACTATGAAAAAAAAATTTTTTTGGCAATGTCTCAGTTATACGCGTAATTCAACTTAAAGTAACATCAGTGTGACTTCTGCTGTTGCAGATTAGATGACAAATAACTTATATTATCTTATGACTTGTAAGATCTTATAACTTGTAAGATGTTAGTTTAAGCAGGACTGTAATTTTTTTTGCTAGTTATTTATTGTTGGCTTGTTTTTTGTGGTTATTAATTGTTAATTTTTTTAATTAATAATTGTTTATTTTGTTCGTTTTTGTGAATTTTAATTTAATTGTTTCATATGCTTCATAGTGTAATAACATTTGTGGAATAACAATTCATAGTGTAATAACAATTGTGATCGGCGGTGGCGTGCCCAAAATATTGTGTCTCGTGCCATAAATGGCACGCGTGCCATTGGTTCGCCATCCCTGACTTAGATATTCAGAAAAATTGATTCCTGTACTTTAGTGGTAACATGCACATTGTAATTCATCGACAGTTTAAGAAAAAAAAGAAATAATTTAAGGCACTTTAACGGATCACTCTAGCTAATGTGCACATTACTTCGATCTGCAGAATAATTTATTCCTTTGTTTCAGTTGTAAAATGCATATTGTAATTCCTCGAGAAATTACACCTTAGACTGAAATTTAATAGTAAAAAATAAGACGAAAAAGCTCCACGAATAAAACAACTGCAAGCCATCTCATTTTTTTTTTTAAAAATACTTAAACTAAAATTTATTTTCCTAGTCATATTGTTAGTAGTAGAAATAAATAAATAGAACAACTTTTAAGTTCCAAAAATTCCTGTGCCACTAAATAAAAACTCTGAGTAGCTTACGAATCTTGATCTTCGAAATAAGATCATGGACTTTTTCCATATCCTCTTATAAAAATCGAAAACTAAAAAAAAAAGTTGTATAAAAATAAATATAAAAGCATAAAAAGAACTTACTTTCGAATGCTGTTCTGTTAGGATCCACCCTGTATCTAGCGAATGTATTGTTAGTGCTCAACTTTTCATGGAATACTCTTGCCAGATGTTCGACGGCGATCTTTTCGGGAGATTTTATAAGATAAAGAATGAAATCTACTTCGACAGAGCGGGAATTCTTCGTTCCACTGGAAAAGAAATTCGAATGAAATTTTAGAATGGTTTTTATAGCATACACTCTTCCGTGGTTTTGGTTATTAACATTGACTTTAGAGAAAAGAAAGGCTCTCATGCGGGCTTAAAGTGTTTTTTGAAAGTTGGAAAAAATAGTTCGGCAAACGGTTGTTTCAATGGTCAAATCACATTTTTTAATAATGTTTGGTTTATTGCATTCTTGGTTCAGACATTTTTCAGTAGATTTCGCGATATTTAATATTTTGTATTGATATCGCGTCGTAGTACGATATTTAATATTTTGTATTAAATATAGTGAAATCAACTGAAAAAAGTCTAAAAAAAGTGTCTGATTTTTTTTAATTCGCACCTGCTTTCGGAAGGACTTATAAGCCAGCAGACTTACACACCCCGTTTTACTTTTCCCTTGGTCACTTGGGGTTTTTCTCACAAGTATAAACAAAGAATAGGACTTCTCGGCCATTGCCCGAGTATATCTTAAATTGTATTAATTTTAAGTTGATCGAAGTTTCTTCAGAACGTCTTCTTGGAAGTTTATGGAATTGGCTCAAAGAGTTAGACTACTTGGGTATTAGAAACAACAACAAAAACATCACACCTAGAACGCATATAATGTAGTCAATATAATCGATCATCCTCACTGCCAGGACTCACTTCAGCTCTATGGCCACCTTTCAAACACTGGTACAAGCTTTCCCCCAAACGTGCGTTGGCTGTCAACGAGGTAAAAGTTGGATCATCACATTAGTATATGATTCAGAACATTCCGAGTCCGTAACACTGGATCTCTGGATAATTTTGGCCGGATAGTGTAGCTATTAGAAGTCAGAGAGAAACTGTATGATCTCCAGACCATTTGATATATTTTTTATATTTTCATTTGCGTCAGTAGGCTTGTTACACACTGTAGTGCACAGCAAGCACTCACTTTAATAATTGTTTTTCTTTTTATGTTCAAATTTCAACAAATGGATATTAGTTAATCCCTATAAAAGGGATTCTAAGAGACGCAGTTTCCCTGTTCGGTAAGGAATTTATTAATTATTTATTTTTTCAAGCAGTAACATTTGGATATACAATTTAATGTTTATCCATTAATTGACTATCCATATGTAAGATATAAAAAATATATAGCTTTTTATATTTTATAACGCAGCACCAAGTATTACCACATTAAGCAAACTGATTAGAACTAAGCATTATACAATAACCTGCTAATGCTGCTTTAAATTGTATTCTCACTATAAATCGTAAATATTAAGTAAAACAATAGATATTGAATGTATGATAATGATCTACGACGTTAATTCAGCGATAATTACAGACAACGATAATCGTGGAATATGAAAATGAGTCAGGTATTAACGATTTTGACAGTAATCCATTACGATATTGATGATAAATTTAACTTTGATCATGAAAATATTGATCAATGAAAAAAAATGTAACTCTATTTATCTGTGATTAGAAAATATCGCAATAAATCGAGAAATATCAATATTTCTAGACTATATATCGTGATATTATAATTATTATAATCATATTATAATTATACTATAATTATAATTATTATAATTAACCGTCGTTAAACAGCCGACCCAATTTTATGGGTTTACGACTACTAATGTTCAACTCCGTAACCTTGTAGTTTTGAATCCAATCCAGAAGACAAAGGAACTCCTAGATCGAGTATTGGTAGAAATTTGCCTTTGTGGAGGACTTTTTGATGGAGCTAACCCGCATTTGCGTTACATGGAGAGTAAGACCACGAGAACCTCCCACGGTTAGCCTAACGGCAAGGGGACTCTAACCCATGATCCGTCTACCACTGAGGATATTTAATGTCAGCACTATGGTCTGTGCAAGCCGGATGCGTAATTCGCATCGACTGGGATTCGAACCCGGTTCGGCTCATTGGAAGGCGAACGCTCTATCCCCTGAGCCATCGCGGATCAATATATCGTGATAGTAAAATTTCAACAGAGTCAGTACTAAAAGTAACTAGAGATATCGAATACATTTAATATCGTGATAAGAAAAATTTAAATGTTCGCTAACAACATCATGGAAGAGAGCAGAAGCAATAAATTCAATTAAATCCGCCTTTCTAGAACATTCTAGATTTTAAAAAAAAGCCAAAAATAAAGTAAAATTTAATGTTCGAAGTTCTCTTAAAACTAAGAAAAGTATCTCAGTAAACCTTAAGTTGCGTTTTAGAGCCAGCTAAATACTTTTTATCAATAATTATTGAAGGTTATGTTTCAGGAATTACGTGATTGGCTTACTTTTATCGAATCTCGCCAAATTTAGCAACAGAGAGATATTAATGCGGATCTTTTTGGTGGACTTAAGAGGCGGGATTACATGATAACGAAAACAACTTATCTGTTAGCTGGCTGACAGCACAGCAAGTCCACAAAACATCCGGTTTCATGGCTGAAGACTTTTACGACGCAATTCTCTTGGTTACGACCAATACTTTATTTTGATACTAGCTGTAAACATTTGATGCCGCCGTATGCAGAGAATAACGATTCATTGGCGATTGGAAATGATGCCAACACGTGTTATAATAAAAATGGTACTATTGACTCGGGTCAAATCGTTAGTGGCAATTACTTTTTTTCCTATATTAGTCAACTAGAACGAATGAAGGAATACCGATTAAAGAAAAAAGTAATAGAATAAAAAAAATAGCTATGTTTCTTTTAAGTGCTGTAAAGAAGTTTTGAAAATTAAGTTAAACTTTCAGTTACAACGTTTATTATGGCTTCCATTAGTGATGAAGTAAAGTTGAATTTTGGTAAAAGTAAATTAATGGATAAATAAAATGTAATCAGATATTTAGTATACAAAAAAGAGCTCAGTAATAACATTTAATTAATCAATTGTGTAATTTTTGACATAATAAAATGTCAAAACTTTTGAAGTTTAAACAATAAAAGTACATGTTTTATGTCTAAACAATTTTGTCCACGTGACAAAAAAAAATGCAAAAGGTCGGAACTAACAGAAATGGTCGGTTGTTCTGTTCTACTTAGGAAACTAAGCATTTTTAGAACCAAATTATTTCACAAGTTTCTCAATAGTCGGCGCTGCCTGATTGCAAAAACTAGAAAACAAGGTTTTTCCGGTGTGTGTGAGATCATTTTAGCTAAAGTATTTCCACAGACGTCTGTTAGATTTCTCCGCATACTGCACCACATATTAAAGTAGTCTCAGTTTGAAAACAATTAAGTAGCGCCATCTGTTTTATAGTTTTGTAACTAATTTTTAAATTTCTTAATAATAATTTCTGGCATTACAAGTAGAACACAGCAAATCAATGAGCTCTTTCGTTTTCCGTTATTCCTTAAATAATTTAATCTTTGGTCCTTTTTAAAACACCTGTTATAGTGCAAGCTCGAAAATTTTAAATGAAACGGCTACACAGTTCTTAAAATTTAAAAAAAGTTTATAAATATTTGAAAAAAATTATAAGCTCTTATAGAAAAAGACGTTATTCTCCATTTAAACTATGGGAGAAGCACAATTGTGAAAATAAGTTGTTTTGTATAAATATAGATAAACTAAAATATAGGCTAGTTTTTAATAGTTAGTGAATAAAACTTTAATACTAGTATAATAAGCAGAGTTCATTTTAAAAAGTAAAATAAAACGAAAACTACTTATTGGCTCAACTAATAAGACGAAAAAATGCAATATTAATAATTCAATGTCCATACAATGTGCCCTATTGTAATTAAAGGTAAAGCATCTTCTGTAATGGTAATTCTATTTTAAGAAAACGATAATTTTAGATAGTGAATAATTCATTCTAAGTACTTTTTCCATTTCGAATACTCTAATCCTTTTTAATATTTATTTGGAATAAACATTGAAAGGTAAATTGCTCAGTTAAGCCAATTTTCGTTTGAACTTTAAGCTGATTATCGTTAATGCAAAATTTCTGAGTCCCAGGAATTGCTTTTTTTAATTCCTAAATAATGAAAGAACAGTGAGCGGAATTTTCTGGAAAAATATGTTTTTAGAAAAATCTAGCGCTAGTTTTAATCTTGAAAAGTTAATTATTTTTGCAGATTTTCATTTTAAACGAGACAACTAAGGTCTAAAAATAGCTGCTTTTATGCTTTAAAACATTTGTCAAATTAACTATGCATTACAAAAGGAGTTGTGTTTTTCATAAATTTGTTTTGAACGAAATCATGTCAATAAAAAAATATTAGCTTAATTAAAAGTAGAAAATGTTTTAAGAAAATGTGACAAAAATAGACACTTGCTAGAAAATAAAGAAGTTTTAAGATGTGCCAGCTATTTTGCTCCACTTGAAATTTATGCTGGAATTTAATTATTATAATAATATAAATAACTTTGTTGTAGAAAAATAAATCAAACACATAAACTCACTTTGTATGCCTAAGTATATCTTTTTATTTTCGATTGATTATTTTCCAGAGATGTTGTTTATTTATAGAAAATTTATGAACGTGTTTCTAACATGTGACACGGTGGCGCTAGTCAGAGATAAAGAGAAATTATCACATAAATTTCCGAAGTGTCAGTGATTCTGGTCAGTAGACATTTATAATGGGAATTTATTATTATTATAATCATATAAATAACTTGAGATAAAAAAAGCAGATATATAAACTTACTTTATATGAATAAATGTACCTTTTAGTTTTCTATGGATTCTTTTCCAGTGCTGCTTTTTATATATAGAAAATTTAAAAAAGGTGCTTTTAGCACGTAATACGGCGGCTCTAGGCAGAGATAAAATAAAGATTATAACAGAAATTTTTTAAAATGTGAGCGATTCTGTTAAACTGATTGTGCTTCAATGATAGCGGGAAGGAATGAGTCATAGTGGTCCAGGGGAGTAGAGGGCTCACCTTTCAAAGTGGTAACCCGAGTTCGAATCATATCAATTACTGGACGATCCGCTGATTCTAAAATATCCTCAGTGGTAGATGGGTCAATGGTCCGGCAGCAGGGATTTAGAATATTCTTGCTGTTGTCGGAGCAACTATATGAGGATTTCGTGGTTTTTCTATCTATGTAACAGTAATGAGGTTTAGTTCCCTTAAAGGCTAGTTCATCCCAATGTTTTATTCAATTGTTCCCTAGTCTTCTGGAATGGATTCTAAATTACAGTTCAGTGGAGTTAGATATTGAAAGTGGTAAACTCAAAATTATGCCGGCTGTTCAACACCAGAAGGGAATATGGGAAGGAAAAAGAAAACAAAGAGCTTTGTTTGCTGTATCTTACTATTTTTATCTCTGTCTAGCTTCGCCACTACTCCTACTAAAATAAAGTTGTAATTACTCTGTAATTTTAACACTATTTTATTAATGCTTGATCCAAAAAACTGGTCATTTGATTGAATTAAATTTTTTGTTTTGTCTTCAGGTAATAAGAAGTTAATTATATACAAAAAAAAATAGTGCGTGGAGTCCCTCCGCGTGGAAGAAGTTAAACTTCGCAACCTGCGACGTTAATTGTAGAAGAATCAGAATTTTGTAAACGATTTTAAACTAACTTCCCGACTAGCTACAGACTTCAAATTTGGCACATAGTTCAGAATTGGATGACAATGCATGAAAATAAAGAGAAAAAAGACATACAAAGTAAATTTAAATTAAAGAAAAATTAATATTTTCGCGATTGTTTTTTGTTGTCGATTCGATTATTTCAAATTAGTGTCACATGTTAGTAGAAAAGTTCTGTATACAGTGAGTGAAAAAAATTGAGATTTTGGAAGTGAGTACAAAAAAAAAANTACCCTATTAAATTATATGTGTATCAAAAACTAAAAAAATATTTATAGAAAAACAATACTTTTATTATTTTTATGCTAGTGAGAACCAAAACAATATGGAAATGAATGAGGGAAAACTGGATCCTACCACGTGATTTCCCGGCCAATAAAAATGTAGCGTTAAACGTTTAACGCAACCTTGTTGGAAGTCGCATAAGAAGTAGAACTTCAAAAATAAATTTATTAAATTTAAAACTTATTCTTGCTTTTTAAGGCCCATTACGAGTTTAAACTACTTTAACTTTGCAAATCAGTTAAAATCGATGTAAGAGATGCTTCACATAATATAGACGTTAAATAAGGAAGGAACTCCACACAAGGAAGCTGCTGTTCTCTTTCAATACTTTAATCACACAGAAACCTGCATCTTTTCACCAAAATTAAAAATGGCAGCTTTTCCATACGCTGTTTTAAAAATTCAAAAATGCGAATTTCATTTTAACGCTTCAATGCGATTAACTGTCATGAAAATTTCAGAAGAAGAGCCCTCGAACGAAGAAGAAGCAGCATCCATTCACAGCTCGCTATCACCATGGGTTATTCATTTTCCCTAAAGACTTCCCTTCGTTGGGGGATTTTATAATCTCATTCCTCTTTTCGGTGGATGATTTCAAGTATTTTCCGTTTTGACTAGAGACTTAGATATTCTTTTGGCGTTCTTTAATAAACTTTTAACGCCACGTGGGGGAGAAATATGCATAATGAATAACATTACTCACTTAAATCCATCGATCTGAATGCGCCAAAGGCGAGGAGCTATTGGCGATGACCTAAACAGATTCTCCAGCTGCAATAAAAGAAAGAAAACGCATTAAAATATGATTTGCATATATTATCCACAAAAAAAATGAAAAAGAATTTCTATAAACAAACTTAATACTTTGTTTAGAATAAAGAGGTAAAAGCAATTTCTGATTTTCATTTTAAGGGTTTCGCTGAAGAAAATAAGAAAGCACCGTTTCAAATATCTTAAAATCGGACTGATTCTTTAATTTTAATTTATATAAACTATTGTTTTGTATAGGTTGTCTAGACTTTGGCACAAATAACTAAAATACTTAAGTTTTTTTAAAATCGCCAATCTGGCGAAGTTTTTTTTACCCAACTTGATGGATCATAACTGTTTCTTTTGTCTAAATTCTCTTTTTTTATTCATTATAGAACCAGAAGTAATCGAGCCTATCATAATTATAATGTTATCCCTTGTAAATGCGTGTTCAGGGTTACTTGTTATCTTTCTGTTTCAAAATCCCTGACGATGCGATCGTTTTCAGTGTGATTTTGTTGTTTTCGTTCTTAACCATAGTGCTGAAGTAAAATATCCTCAGTGGTAGACGGATCCCCTTGGTGTCCCCTTGCAGTCAGGCTAACCCTGGGAGGTATTCCTGGTTTTCCGCCCCATAGAACGCAAATGCGGATTAGTTCCATCAAATAGTCCTCCACCAAGGCAAATTTCTCCCATTACTTGATCCAGGAGTTCCCTCGTCTTCTGGTTTGGGTTCAAAATTACAAGGGTACGGAGTTGAACATTAGCAGCCGTAAACTCAAAAAATTGGGTCGGCTGTTCAACGACGGGAATAAAAAAAGTATCAACAACAGCAAAAGCTATCACTTACAGTGTCATCGATTCCTGCATTTCATTTCGGCAATAAATGTCACCATTATGATCTGTAAATCACGTTATTGTGAATGACACTTCCGCCTAGTAGTTTACTACAGATCTTTGGAAGTAGGGCATTATTTTCACAACGGATACAATTCTATAACAGATAAAAAATAACTGTTACTTACGTGAAGGTGTATTTGAGTGGCTTTTTCTTTGAATTCGGGTGAGTGCCTGTTGCTGAGCTGGTCACTCCACCTGAGTCCTCTTTCCAGCGTGATGCCACCGCCTACTTTGACTAGCATGACGTCATCCTCTCTGGACAAGGTTGGTACAAATGTTGTGTCTGTGAAGGGCACTTCGGATATGGGCTCTTCTGTTGTGGTAGTCGGTGGTACAGTTATGGGCTCTGGCAACAAGGATGTTATGTTATATAAAGTTATTTAATTTATGTTATACATTATGTTAAATAAAGAGTAACACAATACGAAAATTGACGAATCTCCGGTTCCGTTCAAATATTAAGCATGACTTTGAAAACTCTGGTACCCGCTAACTTGTTAGCTAAAGTAAACAAATCACGCGATTGTCTGTTATTAAAATTAAATGATTAAAACTAGCTGTTTTACCCTTTCATGCAGATGGGACATCAATGTGCGTTATACATATTTTTTTCTGACTCTCTAATTAACAGAAAGAATAGATTCTGTTGTTGTTTTTTAATTATATAAAGCAGTCTATTACAGGTACGCAGAACAACGCAGGTACGCAGAACCTTTGCAGACTAGTACGCAGAACCTTTGAGCCAGATGAGACATCAATGTGCCTTATACATATTTTTTTCTGACTCTCTAATTAACAGAAAAAATAGATTCTGTTGTTGTTTTTTAATTATATAAAGCAGTCTATTACAGATACTGAAAAATCTGTTATATCATTGGAATTATATTTGTACTAAAATATAAAACCCAACAAAGGAAGTTTTAATTTTGTCTTTCATTCACATACAAAAATTCATCAATAATTGATATTGTAAATCGACGAAATTTCAGTAATGAATAACCGTTTCTCTTAGATCTAAATGACTTCAAATTTGAAAAGCAATTGCTTGGAAGATTTTGCTTTTAACGCAGAAAAATACATTGATATTTCATGCTGTATTTCATAATCGTAAATTATTAGAATACTAAATAAAATATTTTTCTCCTATTTTGGCCAAAACTAATACAAAATATTGAAAAAAATATGAAAAATATGTATAATAAAAATTCTGAGTCAAAGGGTTAAATCATTAAATACAAATCATCATATCATTTAAAAAATCTAAAAAAATGATTATAAAATTATGTTACTGATTTTTAAATAATTTATAAACTTAATAAATCATTTTACTTTACTTTAAATAATTTATAAACTTAATAAATCATTTTACTCATTTTTGAAGGAAGTTTGCTTGAGTAGTGATAATTTTATTTATTTATTTTTTAAATTTTACTTATTTATTTATCTTAATAAATTTTTCTGAATAACTAAGACACTCCACTCAACAACTCCAATAATTTTTTCTCATCATTTTTTCTCAAACGTCAGTATTTTCACAATAACGCAGAACACTTTACTTTCAAAATGTACAATTATTGTAGCTGTATGTGAGAACATTTTGAAAATATGTTAATCGTAACGACAAAAAGAGATTATCTAGATTTAAATAATAATCATCTAAACTTTAAAAAAAAATTTACCTTAAGAGTACAGATGCGACTCAATAACAAGAAATGCACGAAAAACAATTTTACTCGTTGACAAGTAAGGATATTTAAAACGATTCAAACACGGATATTTAAAACGACTCAAACACGGATATTTAAAACGATTCAAACACGGATATTTGAAACGATTCAAACACGGATATTTGAAACGATTCAAACACGGATATTTAAACGATTCAAACACGGATATTTAAAACGACTCAAACACGGATATTTAAAACGATTCAAATATGTCTCTTCTTCAAGTTTTTTTTTAGTTTTAAAAATATCGATATAAATATTAAGTTTCATATCTGGCAAGTCATATTTCTATCTCTTTTTCTATTCGAGGATGAGCTCATAAAATAAAGAAATCAAGATCTCGCAAGAGATTTTTTCCTTTCTACAACAATAAATAAATAGTCAATATTTAAACCAAAAAAACTGAAAAAATCCTGAAAAGCACTTAAATTTAAATTAACTTTCGAATAAATTGGAATTTCGGAAGAAAGTTCGCAAATAAAAATGGCTCTTTCAGCGCGTAAACTTTTTACTCCGTAATTGCATTTCTGATGGTTATAGATAGACAAGACATAATATTTCCCTCTAAAAGTTTAACAATTAATAATTCTCGAATTAATTGTCGGATGTTAATTATTCTTATTCCATCGTACTCTCCGTACAATTTTCTGTAGCCGATCGTAATTTCAAAACTTTAAATCTTATAGTTTTTGCACAGCAAAACAAACTGTAATGTAAAGAATACAAAGAGAACAAATTCGTGAACAAAGCACTTAAAATTGCACCAGCTTTGAAACAAATTTTATAACCGTCGTTGAACAGCCGACGCAGCCGTTGAACGAACTTCGCAGCCTTGTAATTTTGAACCCAATCTAGAAGACAAGGAAACTTCTGGATTGAGAAATAGGAAAAATTTGCTTTGCGGAGGACTTTTCGATGGAACTAACCCATATTTGCGTTATATGGAGAGGAAAACCACGAAAACCTCCCACTGTTAGACTGACGGCAAGGGGACACTAACCCATGATCCGTCTACCACTGAGGATATTTTACTGCAGCACTGTGGTCGGTGCTAGCCGGATGCGGGATTCGTATAGACCAGTCATCGCTGGGATTCGAACCCGGTTCACCTCATTGGAAGGCGAAAGCTCTATCTCCTGAGCCACCACGGCTCTTTGAAACAAATTTGAAAAAAAAAGCTTGTGTTCATTTTACAAACATATCTGATCTTTTCAACTCAGCAGTTGCTCTTCTGTGCTCTGCAGAGCGATGGCATTTGTTACTTCAAGTTATAATTCTCAAACCATAGGTGTCCAAATTTTAAAGGGGACGAAATTAGAAAATACCCGGTCATAATAGGTTCTCAAACTTTTACTCGAAAAAAAAATGTTTCTTATATATCCTAAATATCTTCAATAAGATAAATTATTTTTTATCTCTTTCTTGTTCTTAACTTCGCTAAATTTGACGATTCATGAAATTTTTTTTTATTTGTCTAAAATATTGAAGGAGACTTCTAGAGATTTATAATTCCTGAGGGAGACAAGAATGCTCCCCCCTCCGTCAAGGACGCCCTTGTCTCAAACTAATTATCCAATATTTGTTTCCCCCATTATTCTACGATCCATTTTATTTTCAAGTTTCTAGGTCTTGTAGTTTTTACGCAGCAAAAAAAAAAAAAAAAAATATGCAACGTTAAGTTGAATTTTCAAAACAACGTTGGCGGTCCTCATGATTTTTTTTACCACACAGAGCTTCATTAATTTCAATGACTTAAGTTAAAAAAATAATGATTTAAATCTTAATTTATATTTCTCAAGAGACTTGGTTTGAGTTGTTAACAAATTTTATTTCATTTCTTTTTAATTAACTCATTAATATGAATGACTGATATAAGAAAATAATAATTAAAATGATTTTTCACATTTCTAAAAAGAGTTATAGCAGTGAGAAAAAAAAAACAGCAGAATCCCTCCAAATTGATTTAAAACAAACAGTACAGTTTCTTTGAAAGTCCGCACGTTCAATATTTTTACTCAATAAAAAAAAATTAGCCGATTTTTATAAGGTTGTTAACCAACAGACTCTAAAAACTCTTCGGGTTTAATTCCTGAATATCTACCACCATAATATATTTTTAAATTATGCAATCCCCTTAAAATTATTCGATTTTTATAACCAGGTTGGGCGCACATCTTTGGGATCGATTTACCAAAAGATACCAAAAATTCCTCGAATTTCTTTCCTGGATATCTACCAGTATAATGAATCCTTAAATTTATCGGATTTTTATGCACAAATAAAGGGGATTAACTTGTCAACAGGCATTAAGAATTCTTCTGGTTTCAGTCACGGTTATCTGCAAGTATAATATACTTTTAACATGGTTTTTCGAAACTCTTTCGCCAAGGGAAAAAAAAGCCACAGCTTAAGTGCCCCACACTTGAAGCAAAGATATAATTTTAAACTATACCATCTTGTTACGAAGAATTATCTGGTTTTTAGAAAGGACAAATTACTTATATATTTTAAAAGTTATTAAACTTCATTTTTAAAAAAAATCGTCAATTTGGTAACATTTTTCAAACTTTAAAAAAAATCGCCAAATTGGCGACATTTTCCCACCTAGATAAGAATTATCAAAATCAATGCTTTATTTTTAGTTTTCGCAAATTTTTATGAGCCCAGATAATACAGCAATAAATAATTGGAGTAAATTTTAAAATATTAAAAATTTAAACCACAAAAGCTTTTCCTTTTGAAAAAAATGTGGTTTTTCTCCATTTTGAAGTTTTGCGCCATTTTCAGAATAAGCATAGAGAGCGATGGCTATAGAATGAGTAACTGTGTAAATTCACAGCAGTTATGAAGATAGCATATTATTCGCAAAAAAATCATCTTTTTATATGAGGACGGAGCCTTCGAAAAATAACCTTAAATTAATGTCATCTGGTTTTTTTGTCAATATCACTGGCATCAACTTACCAACAGACACTGAAAATTCTTCAGGTTTCATTCCTGGATATCTACTAGCATAATGGACCCTTATAGTAGAAAATTGTGGGAATGGTGTGGATGTTGTAGAGGAGGTTATGGAATTGGAGCGCGTTCTTTCCTTCTTAAATATTGAAACGGGAGGTCCCGCGGTGCTCGAAGATTGAGGTTTGGGTGCCATAAAAGGTTTGCGAGTTCTCAGAGCAGGTCCATCTGTTCTTCCAGGTACTCTAATGCTCGGTCTCCTGATTTTAACTGAAGTTGTGGATGTACTTGGAACCAGGGTTGTGGGAACAGAGGTCGATTCTGATGAAGATCTACCTGAAATAACATTATAACAGATAGAATTATAACAGTGTTAGCCTTAATTATTCATCCAGTTTCAAGGTTCTGTTTAAGGCTTTGGATAAAAAATTATAATTGTGTTTAATTTTTTTAAACTTGCCTAAAAATTTTCGAGATAAGGTTAAATATGCGAAAAGTAAAATTACTATTAAGGGTTCCAAACTTTGGACCACTCTTCAGTGTCAACTATTGGGAGCAACTTTCATGGATTGTGACCACCCCCAATTTTTTGAGGATCAGAATTTCAAATCCGTCTAAAAAAGGTTTGATTGCTAACGTCGCTTCACTAAATGACAACTGAATAATGGTCTATTATTTATTTTTAGTGATAATATAAAATAAACTTAGAGTATGCGCACATTGCAGTAACGCAAATAAGATGCTAGTAGTAAACACCCAATTATGTCGCTGCAGTTTTCTCCTTAACCACCAACATTGCTCGTCTCCTTTACAGTCTACTAGACCCTCTCAACGGTCTATGCGTCGAGAACTATTGTCTAACCATTTAAACATGATCACATTGTAATTCGACCATAAATATAATTTGCCACTGGCAATAGAATCTCAGTTCAAACTATGGAAGTCGAAGATGCTGTCTACCATGCCGACTGAGTGGTATGTTAAAAAGATGCTTAGAATAATAGAATTTACACCAGAATAAAAAATGAATAAAAGTTTCAACTAGGTAGTTGGTACTTTATTTACATTCCACTAGAGCTGCACAATGGACATTGGCGATGGTCTAGGAAACATCCCTGAGGATGATCCGAAGATATGCCATCGCAATTTTGATTCTCTGCAGAGGGGATGGCTCCCCTGCTTTGATAGCATAATGACATGCGCGCGAAGTCGAGCACTTTACGGTAGAACAGTATAACGAGAACCGATACCCGCACCCCTACGCATACTGATCAAAGTGGTCACCCATTCGCTTACTGACCGCAACCACTGATACTTGACTTCGGTGTTCTACTGGGAACTGTGTCTTTACAATAAGTCCACTGTAGGACAAGTTCCAACTAGACTTACCACTTTAAATTGTCCTAAATTACAAGAAGTTGAAAAGAGAAGTTATTAAAAATATGAAAGACTACTTACTCTCATTAAAAAGTGAAGTAGCAGAGGAATCTCCAGTTTTCAGATTAAAATCTGCATCGCTATTACTCGCATCTAGGCTCGAATTTTGCTTGATTGAAATTGGTAAGGTAACTGAAACTGAAGTCTTAATTGCAAGACCTGCAATAGTCGAATTATTATCAGAAGACAGTGTTCCATTTTCATTATTGTCCAGTGGATGCAAACTTTTATTAAATAAAGAGTCAACAAGCTCTGGTTGTACAACCGCAGTTGAGATTTCAAGATTTCCAACCAATTTTTCGGTTGTGCTTGGGGCAGGATTAGGCAGGATTATTGGGCTTGATAAGTTTGTAGTAGCACTCTGACTCTCTTTGCTATCGGTAGTGTTCAACGGATTATTACCGATAGTAAATTCGGTTGGATGAGTAGAAGATGTTAGTGTGGTAACTTGTGTTGAAGTCGGTTCTTCTGATGGGCTTTTGATTTTGATTGGACGGAGTACAGACTGTTCGGTATTGTGGGCAATGTCCTCATTCATTTCTCTAAGTTCATTTGAATGGGAAGATAGCGTGGTTCCTGGTTTAGATTCAGTTGAATTCACCAAATGGGATAAAATTTCTTTTGGTGCAGTTTTGGACTCTAATTCGGGTTGAGCTGTAGCCTTATAAACATCTACAAATGAGCCATTGTAAACACTGTTATCATCTTGTAACATTTCTTCTGAGCTATAGTGTATTGGTCTACCGAAAATCACAGCAGGAGGAACTAGTACATCACTGTGATTGGTTTCTTTAGGCTCATCGTTTGACGCATTTACGATCGTCAAATGTTCGAATTCTGTTTCTGGTGCGTCATGTGGTAGATGTTCTGAGTTGAATGATTTTGTTGGTTCTTTCTCTCTTTCGGTAGCAATATTCGCTTCAGTAGGCGATTGCTTTTTAATTTGTGGTGGAACAGAAAATATGATGGAATCCGGATCTTGAGAAAAATCATTTTTTAAACCATCTGGGTCGAAAGTCACTCCAGCAGGTTCCTCATCAGCAAACCCAGCATAAATTATATCATCGTTCTCGTGCTCAAAAACACCGTTGGGTTGTGTTTGGAGCTTTGGAGTCTTAGCCCCGTTTCCAAAAAGTAAGTCACCCAGGACATTGCTCTCAGTTCTGTCGTCATTGTCATTCAAGCTCACATTTGTCTCTAATTTATCATCAGTATATTCAGAAGTAGACAATGTCTTCATAGGAATACCATTAGAACTATTCGGTGAAACAGTCAAGCTTGGCGCATTTTCCAAACTATCTACTCGCTCACTAGCTTCAGACAGGTCGCCAAAAGTTGTTTCAGCAGATTTCACAGATGTCAAGTGAGTGACACCTTGACTGTTGTAGATCTCTATCGGCAATGGCGTTGGCAACTCTTCTATTTTTATTGTTGTATCAAAACCATCTACTTTTGAGCTAGGTGAAAAAAAAGATGCTGTAGTATCAGAACTGACTGGTGTAAAAGTAGCGGAACTTGCGAAACCGCGCACAGCATCCGCCGTTGAATTTAAGCTTCTTTTAATAGTTGCGCTCTTTGGCGAGGCACTTACTCTTTGCTCATTGCTTACAGATGCGCTTTTTTCAACATCGGCAAAATCTACTGTTGCTAAACTAGCCTCAGCAATTGATTCATTTAGATTAGTATCTGAACCAAAATCAATCACGTTTACGGATGCGGTGTGTAGATTTTCAGACTGAGAATTTCCTTCTGCAACTTCAATTTCATTTGATTTCAAAGGAATGTACTCTTCATCCAAAGATTTTTGCAGCCCTGCTTTTTGCAACTCGCTTGTGGCAATTTCAGGTTTAGAATCATTCGTATTTGTGACAAAGTAGCCTCCGTAATCGATATCAGAAGGGCTGGTTCTTAAACTAGAACTAAACTTTGTTTCATGAGCTGTTGCAGTAGATGTATCACTTCCTGTACTTGGTGCATTAGAAGTATCTTTTATTTCTTTTTCAGTGGCAAAACTAGATGGCGCCATAGGTTGTGAACTGCTGGCATTCTCACTAAAAACCTTGTCTATATTCCCTTTGTTCTGTTCGATATCTTTATGAGTTGTAGTGGACGATTCTAAGCCACTCGGCACGGTGGGCTCTGTCAGTGGGTTTTCTTTTAGAGTGGAGGAACTAATTTCTGGAATGTCAGTTGTTATTGAATCATCTGTACTACAAATAGCAATGCCTAGAAAATAAAAAAAAGTTTTTTTAATTATGATACTTTCTGATTAAAATATTAACTGACAAAACACAATTAATTTTTCAAATTTGTTTGAAATTTTTTTTTATGTAAAAGGGGAAAATTATACACCTTTACAGTCTCAAAGTAAACACTTAAACTTGCGTTTTTTAATCATATTTAAAAATATTTTATTTTACTTAGCATTAAAATTAAGGATGAAGCGAATAGTTTAATCAAAATTCAACTGTGCCAAATTATTTTACTTTAACATATTATTCATATCATTACATATTATTCATATTACTCATATCAATTATAAAAAATTTCTCAATGTAAACACTTAAACTTGCGTTTTTTAATTATATTTGAAAATATTTTATTTTACTTAGCATTAAAATTAGGGATGAAGCGAATAGTTTAATCAAAATTCAACTGTGCCAAATTATTTTACTTTAACATATTATTCATATCATTACCATTTTATTGGAATAATGCAAAGCTTTTGGTTTGAAAATAAAGAAAAAAAAGATTTGTCTAATGCTTAAATCAAATATATATTTGAAGTGATTATAAGACCAAATACGATGAAACGATTTAACAAAGCTGAGAGCACACACCCACATAATAAAAAAAAAAATATTTTCCTTGTGATAAGAAAAATCTAAAAGCATTTCCTATCTTCAAAAATTCAATTTTATACTCGCAGAAATTTGATTCCAGGATTCATTTCCTGTTACAAAAAAGAAAAAATAGGAAATACATAAACACTCTTTCAGTATTGAGTATTTTTCTTAGTCGAAGGTATTAAATTACAACTGTAGGCCTTTAGTCTCAAAAGAAAACTATTGAAATAAGAGCTAGCAAGTCTGGGTAAAATTTTAAGAGAAACATATTTTTGATTTCCTACAAAGGCTAACCATTATAGTTAGATTTTATAAACAAGTACTGGAATTTAATAGTTACAATAACTATACCGGAATTTAATAGTTACAATAACTAAAAAATGTAATAGTTACAATAACTATTTAAAAAAATGAGTGCTGATTTGTTTCATTTTAAATCCACGATTTAATTTGTAGCCTGAAATTTATTAAGTAAACACAATTATAAAAATGCTTCTTTTTATTTAATCTTATATAAATTTAGATTTTGTTTGTTTTTTGACTTTTGATAACGCGCTTCAAAATTTTGCAAATTTTTTGACATAAAAACCAGTTTTAGACAAATCCCTATTTATTCAAGTACATTTAATATTTATATATAACGAGAGTTTCAGAAATGACAACAGACTGAAAAAAGAAAAAGAAAATAAGATCGAAATGTTTGGTGCGTTCTGCTTAAAAAACAATAATTTATTTATTAAATATTTTTTTAGCCAGATATGAAAATTAGTTAAAGTTTGTCAACAGATGTCACTGTGAACTGCAAAAACTATAAAACTCCGTTTTCTGCTAAATGTCAGACTTTTTTTCAACTGATACTTTTAAACAAACATTGTTAGAACATTGTTGCCAGTGCCGTACCCTGCTGCTGCGAATAATGCTTTTTTTTCCTTCTTTTGAAAACGTTGTTTTATAGTTATTTGCGTTAGTAGCTCCATCTTTTGTTGAATTTAGTAACCAATGTTAAAACTTGACGTGAAAAACTACTATATTTTCCTAAGCGGATTGCAGCAGATTGTACGTTTCTTGATCTTCTTTTACTTTCGTTGATTTATTTTTAAAACTGTTGTTATCTTTCGAGACTTCCAGTGCGAAAATTTAACTAAAAGTTAGTGTTAGTTAACTAAAAAGCATCAACTAACGTATTTGTTGAATCTGATCTTTTTAAATGTTCATATTAGAAAAGTTACTTTTTTCAACTACAAGTTTCAAAATGTTACAATTACAATATACCTCTTATTAGTGTTCAAAATTCTTAGAACTTATTGCTATTACAAGAACTGTAATTTTTAAAACCAGTGCTTCCTCTTCTAGACCATTAACATATGAACGGAAAAAATGTCAAATGAATGATTTAAATACCGTATATTTTGGTTTATCAACCAGAATTATTATTTTTTTTTTACGAAAAATGTTATTAGCATACAATTCGGTAATTTCACCTGAATTTTTTTCTGGTGTTTTTTCTCACTATTCACTTTTTATTTAGAATGCCTCGCAATATGGATAATTTATCTAATTTTTTTTTCGTATAACAACTGTTCTTAATTTCAGAAGTTTTCTTTTTTCATTGTTGCATACAATTATACTGACGCCTTATAAGCCCTTGTAGGAATGAAAAATAGATTAGATTGCTTTTATTTGAGAAAGACATTAAAAATATATATTTAGTTTGATGTCAGGATTCGAACTTCCTACCTCCATGCAACAGGCCAGTGAGTCTTGTTAAATTGAGGAGATCGGTACAATGATTCAGTAACGATTTGCCTAGTTGCCTAGTTTTAGATGCCTAGGCGAATTTCTTATTTTTTGCGGCTATGCATGTTTAGCTTTAAGTATAGAAAATTTATATCTTATTCAATTTTTTTTAAAGTTTACAGATAAAAAAACTTGTCTTTGAACAGCTTCTGGACTTCTTTTTTGAGTATTTCAACGCTCAATTTTAATCTTATTTATAAAATATCACTAACCATTTTTCGCACTAAGTATATAATAAGTCATACTAAGTCAGGGTGCGTAGCCAAATTATTCAACAAAACATTAAGCACCTTTTCAAGCACTCAAAAAATATTTTCAAACACTTTAAAAAAATATCATTAATTCGGCAGGGTAGGAAAGTTTTTGACAATTGACAGTTTTATCTTGTTTTAACCGTCATGTCAAAAAAAAAAACCTTTTGGCATTTTTCTTGACAAATGTCAAAAATCATGTAAAACGAATGGCGTTTTCATACGCTACGGACTGATAATACGCCGAAATAGATTGAGGTTGAATGAATTGTGAAAACTATGAACCGAACAATGTGAACTGTGCATTCTTAATTCGTAGCGAAAATCAACATGGTAAAGGAAAAATCTCATTTTGAAAAAGGGAAAATAAGGCACTTTTTAAAAACACTCAACGAAAAAAGCACCCTTAAGGGCTTTTAAAAAACGAAAATTGAAAATAAGCACCTTTAAGCGCTTTTCAAAAACGCTAAGCACCTTGTAAGTAATAAATTATTGAATACCTGTCCAAATTGGATTGTATGTTTAAAGCAAATTCGGGAGCAAGACTAAAGTGATATTTATTTTCACGAAATATAACAAAATTATTCGTAATAAAAAAAGCTAAACAAGAATGACACAAAATCATTGTAATGTTATAAATCAATAGGTATTGAAAAAATAATAAAGCTACCGTTTGACATTATAAGAAATAAGCAAACAGCAAGTAATATTCAAATAAATATTTTTCCAAAGAATATTTCATCTCTGAGTCAATATTTTTTCATATGTTGGCATATTGTATTGTTCCTTCAAAAGGAAAGTAAACGTTTGAAGATTAATTTCTTCCCAGCAGAGAAATATATCTTCCTCGGTTGGTTCTTGGGTTAGGAAACAGTATACATAAATCTTGATATATATATATATGTGCAAATAGAGTCTTAAAAATTAGGTTGACATATTTCACAAAATCATTCAGAAATATTTTTTAAATGATGCGATAAGTGTACAGCAATTTTTTTAAGTCATGTAGGCAAATTGTTATCGACCAAAAAATACAGTCAAAAAACGCAATTTGTAAAAACTAATAATAATAATAAATAAACAAATAAAATAAATCTTAATTTTTATCCTAGCTTTAATTAAAATTTTTCAATTCTCATGGCAAAGATTTTAACTAAATTACGTTAGACGCATATTCCACATCACAGCGTTTATTAAAGTTAATCTGACGTTGAACAGCTGACCCAATTCAGATTTTATGACATCAATGTTCAACACCGTGTAATTTTGAACCCAGAAGACAAGGGAACTTCTGGATCAGGCATTGGGATCTTTGAGGAGGACTTTTTGTTGGAACTAACCCGTATTTGCGTTACATATAGAGAAAACTCAATAAATCCTTCCAAGTTCAGCCCGACGGAAAGGGGCTTCTAACACCTCATCCGTCTACCACTGAGGATATTTTTCGGCAACATCCGGTCAGTGCAAGTTTGGAACAGAATGTATACGAATCAGCAATCGCTGGGATTCGAACCATCACATTATTGGGAGGCGGAAGTTCTAGCCCAGTGGTTTCCAACTGGCGGCCCGCGGGCAGCATCCGGCCCGCGAAGCCTTTTCTTGTGGCCCGCGAACCGAAATATATTAGTTGTCAATTTTTGGCGGACAATTTTCGTAAAAAATCTGTATGGGATTTAAATACTTTTAAGTTTTATACCTTAACAATTTGATATCTGTTGCACATTAATTGTTTAATACGTAGGAGCACACATTAAAGTTATTGTAGCCAGAATTTTTAAATATGCAATTAAATACTTTTAAAAATCCACTTCTTATTTTAATATGTGATTCAATACTATTGTTTTGTACAACTTGATAAAAATTTGACAGTAATATTTAATGTTCCTTCAAGCATAAGGGAGTCCTATATAAAATGTTGACAAAGTTGCGGCCCGCCATTTAACTGGTGTTTTCGATTGCGGCCCCCGGCCTCATGTAAGTTGGAAACCCCTTTTCTGGCCCATGAGCCACCGCGTCTCTATTAAAGTAAAATGTAGTTAGCTCAGATGTAAAACTTTCTTTTAAACTTTATTTTTGTTTCAAATAAATTTGGTCATAGCAAGATATAACCCTTTCTCGGTCTAGTGAATTCGGCCGTACTGCTTTGGCTTTATTTGTAAGTTCTAGAATTAATTTTAGATTTGTAATTTGATTAAGTTTATATTAAAATACTCAAGATTTATTTCTGAAAGACCTATTATCACAGCATCTGTATTAGATACCTCAATAAATCGTTTAAACTCTTGAGACTCTGAGCGATGACAGATAATGTGATTTTTACTTAACCCCTTCG